CTTCTTCTTCTTCTTCTTCTTCTTCTTCTTCTTCTTCTTCTTCTTCTCCCTCTTCCTCTTCCTCCTCCTCCTCCTCTTTTTTCTCCTCCTCCTTTCTTCCTCCTCTTCCTCTTCTTTTGAATTGGAAAATGACAGTACTTTGTGTCATTTAGGTTTTGAACCAACAAGCTTAATTAGGATTACTTCCTGAAGCACAGGTGATGTATATTTACAGAACTATGGACACTTTATCAGTGGCTATACTGCTGAAGAATATCTCCTTCTTCTGCAACTGTTAACTGCCTAGAGATCCCATGGAGGGGCTGGAACTCATGAACCCTTACTCTTTAAATTTCTTTACTATGAAGTTAAACTATAACATCGAAAGTCCCTAAGAAATAGTGGAGAAGGTGCCTGAACTGGCCTTCCCCTGTAATCAGATTGATGACTACCTTGTCATCATAGAACCCTCATCCAGTAACTGATGGAAGCAGATACAGAGATCCACAGCTAAGCACTGAGTCAAGATTCTGGAGTTCAGTCATAAAGAGGGAGGAGCGATAATATGAGCAAAGGGATCATGACCATGATGGTGATACCCACAGAAACAACTGACCCGAGCTAGTGGGAGCTCAGTGACTCTGGACTGACAGTGGGGGAACCTCCATAGCACCAAACTAGGCCCTCTGAATGTGGGTGACAGTTGTGTGGCTTGGGCAGTCTGTGGGACCAGGATTTATCTTTAGTGCTTGAACTGGGGTTTTGGACCCATTCTTTTGCTCAGCCTAGATATAGGGGGAAAGGCCTCTGTCCTGCCTCAACGTGAAGTATCAAACTTTGTTGACTCCACTTGGGAAGCCTTACCCTCTCTGAGTAGTGGATGGGGGGAGGTTGGGGGAAGCAGGAGGAGGGGATGAAGTGGGACCTGGGCTAGGTATGTAAAATGAGAAAAAAAATGATTTTAAAAATCCATAGTTTTAATTGGAATATATATAAAACATCAAAGAGCAGCACATAATTTTTTTAACTGCCATTTAACTTAACTGTTGCCCTTGGGAGTTTAGTGGTGTCATCCTGGAGACCCAGGTTTATATTTCCTGGCTGGGAGGTAGGTAGGTAGGTAGGTAGGTAGGTGTGTAGGGGTGTGTGTGTGTGTGTGTGTGTGTGTGTGTGTGTGTGTGCGCGCGCGCGCACGTGCGCGTGCATGTGCATGCATGTGCCCGCATGTATGTGTGTGAGAGAGACAGACAGAGAGACAGAGAATCTGTTTTCTTTCTGAAGGGAATCTTTGAAATTTTTGGATTTCAATATAAATTCAATACCAGAAAGTAAGTTCAAATAAAAGGTTATGAATTAAAGAAAACAGGACAGAATAAAGGCTTCATTTCTAAAACCCCACACTTGGTGGGAAATAATGTAACTCTACCGCTTGGTGAACTCACCTCATCCTATAGGGCATACGATGGGCTGGGGCTGTAGACACTCTTCACCTGAATCCTGAGGTCCGTTCTGTTACCATGTAGGGGTCTTGATCAGGTTCATTTCCTTTGTCAATTAAAGAAGTAGAGGGCATGGAGAATCTCAAGCTCAAAAGGTAGCAGTGAGGAAAATTCTCAGACATAGCAGTCAGCAACAGCTGCTGAAGAAAAGCCTTTATTAGGAGTCAGGCATGCATGCATACAGCAAACACACAGAGATGAAGACCCTCTGCAAAGCAGAGGGGATTTTTACCATAACTTAGATGTGTTCTTCGTAGTGAAAGAGTTTTCCATTTTGACAAAGTGTAGCTTATGTTTAATTTTTGGTTTATTTTGCTTTTGATGTCACCTACAATAATTGCTGCTAAATATAAAGTGACTTATGCTCATATTTAACCTGTAAAGTCTTTGTAGTTTTAATTCTTATATTTAGAGGGTTTGATCCATTTTGAGTTATTTTCACTTATACGCGGTATGGGTATAAATACGTTCCTTGCCTGTGGGTATCTGTTGCTCCCATTTGTTGAAGAGACTACCTTTTTGTTGTCTTGACACTTTCATAAAATGAAGTAACTTGAGGACTGGGGCTTGGAGCTCAGGGGGAGACTGTTCGCCTAGCATGTGGGAAAGGCCTGGGTTCTGTTACTAGCACTCCAAAAGAAATATGGGACTTCAGATGTAGCTCAGTTGTTAACAGTACCTGTGTAGCGTGCACAAAAAAAAACAGATCCTGTGTTTGATCTACAGCATGACATAAAGCCAGGCATAGAGCACACACCCATAATCCCAGCACTTGGGAGAGAGACTAGGGGATCAGAAATTCAAGGTCATCCTTGGCTACCTTGTAATTTTGAGGTCAACCTGTTTCACATGAAACCCGTCACCCGTCTCTTAGACTTTGTGTCTCTTTTACAAGGTTGCTCTAGGCGTTTTGGATCTTTTGCATTTTTATAAGGATTTTATAATTAATTTGTCAACATATTTTAAAAATTCATATCAAATGTTCAGGGGGATTATACGGAATGTGTTTGGGAAATATTGCCAGCAGAACAACTGAACCATGAGATCTGTGAACATAGTATGTCTTCTCGTTTATTTAGTTTTGGGTGCTGCTATGAATAAGATTAATTTCTTAACTTTTAAAAAATATTCATGGCAAGTGTGGATAAAAATAACTTTTTTTTTTACAAGACAGGGTTTCATTGTGTGGCCCTGGCTGTCCTGGAACTAGCTTTGTAGACCAGACTGGCCTTGAACTCAGAGATCGCCTACCTCTGCCTTCCGAATGCTGAGATTAAAAGTGTATGCCACCGCTATCTGGCTAATAACTGATCTTTGTATCCCCCACAGTTTTTCTAACTTGAGTTATTAGCATGAAGAGCTAATTATTTAGGGATTTTTTTATGTCATGTCTTGTGCAAATAGGATTAGTTTTACTTCTTTCTTTCCAATACTGTTTTATAGTATATTATTACTTAATTATTCTGGCTAGATACTTGGCTTAAATACTGAATAGAAACAAGAGAGTAAATTTCCTTGTCATCTTGACTGAACTGAGAATCACTTAGTAGATTGAGCGTACTTCTGTGAGGGTATTTCAAGAGGAATAACTGATGGGAGAAGACCTGCTTTAAATGTGGGCAGCACTGTACCAAGGGCTGGAGCTTGGGTAAAATGTATTATTTTATTTTAATTTTTTCATATAATATATTTTGATCATGTTTTCTCTCCCCCAACTCTTCCCAGATCCTCCTCACCTCCATATCCATACTTACATAACTTTATGTGCTGCTTTGTATTCTTTCTCTCTTTTGTGTGTTATCCTAATAGGTCGGCCTGTTTTTATATGTTTCTTGGTCTTTTTCACTTGTGACTTTTAATATTCTTTCTTTGTTCTGTACATTTAGCGTTTTGATTATTATGTGCTGTGAGAAATTTCTTTTCTGACGCAGTCTATTTGATGTTCTGTAAACTTTTTGTACCTTTATAGACATCTCCTTCTTTAGGTTAGGAAAAAGTTTTCATCTATGATTTTATTGAAAATATTTTTGCTCCTTTAACCTGGTTTTGTTCCTCTTCTATACC